GGAAATTGCTCAAAAATGAGAAAGAAATTTTCTATTACCTTGCTAGGGGTACACGGCTCGGTTGCTGAAAAATGGCCCAAGTTTCATGAAATTTCTCATGAATTTCATGTTAATTTACCTTATATTAAGCTTAAATGAATTAAAAATTCATTTAATCATTAATGAAACTTTATATTTAAAATAATACCAAGCCACATAACCTTATCATCTCTCCAAATTCAAATATGAATAAAATATTTTACCCTTTTCCAATTTTACCAAAAACTTTCCAAAAATTACAATCTTGCCACTTTGATCTAGTGGTCCAAATTAAACATGGAAATAAATCTTCAAATCCCATGATCCATATTGTTTTCCATTATTTTAACATGTGTAAATACTATTTTTAATCCTAATTTATCATCTTTCAATTTTTCCCGAAATTTCTATCCGATCCGATTTACCGATTTCTTATTGGACCTTAACCCTTTCTAGTTTTCAACATAAATTCTGGATCAAGAATCTGATTTCAATAAAAATCTCACTCTCAAAAGTAAACTATCTATTTATGGAATATAAATTATTTTGGGAAAATTACCATTTAGGTCCATGAACGTTTCCCAATTTTATAATTTGGCTACTAAACTTTCAAAACTTAAATTTGGTTCACTAATCAAAATTTGGGGTATTATACATTCAGAACTTATTAATTAAATTGTAATTATAAGGATGATTTTAATTAATTTTGGTGGCTAAAACAGGATTGCACAAATAATTGGATGACTAAATATGAAATTTACCCTAAAATTTATTATATTTTCATATGATTAATAAATTTATCTTAACTTGTGATAGTTTAGAGGACCACTTGGAAATTGGAACCATTTTAAGAAAACCATGAAAAAGAACCATTTTTTAATGTTATTTAGAAGTTCATATTTTGTTCTATCATTTTGTTTAATTTATTGGTTCATTTTCGCCTTTGGTTATCTGAATTTGACAATTATATCAATCAAGTATTGATTTTTTGTTATGTTCTCTTTGGACTTTGACATCTACCACTTATTTTGTTTCTTATATATATCGATCACTTTTGTTATAAATTTTGGTTTTGTCAAGAATCAGGATCTAATGAGATATTTTTTAAGAGGCATAGTGGGGTTTTAGTTTTGAATTTGGCTCTTTTACATCTGAGGCATTACTTTACTAAACTGTTACACTTTGGGATTATTGTAAATACTAAACCCTAGTTGTTCTCTCTCTCTCTCTCTCTCTTTTGTGACACTTCTTTCTTTTTTTTTATATTTTTTCATCACCGGTAACGATACTAATCTTGAATTATTCGTCGACCACTAACTTTTCCTTCTCTTCCCCATTTCTTTGTAATTTGAATTATATTATTTTTTAATTAATTAATCTTCTCATTTTCATATAAAATTATGGATTATTTTATCTACTCTTATAGCACGTGCAAACAAAAACTAATTGGTCTAAACTTATGTCATCACCGCTCCACAAATATCATGCTTATCCTCGTTCATTTAGCAAACTACTCAAGAGTATTTTCAATCATAAATCTAGTTAATTAATGACTCTATCCACACAATCATATCAACAACAAATACATTACATGGTATCACCTAACAATCAAGTGATAAATAGCAATAGTATATGATATCACTAAGCAGCCAGATATCAAATATTTTAACTTAGATATTAGTTTTGGCAGGATTCTAATAAAGTTTTAGGTTTTTTTGATGGTCACGTAATATAGCTTAAATATAACTTTTAATGATATTTTAACAAATTTCTACCCTAATTCAATGGTTAAGTGCTATTACATCTTGCAAGGGTCTAAGGTTAGATTCTATTACACAGCAGCTATGGCTATTTCTTTTTAATTTTGTTCCACCAATAAGATAGTGATATTCATTAATAATAGCATATGAGACTTAAGAAAAAATAATGTTACTAACACTTTTGTTAAAAAAAAGTTGGTGACAAAAATAAAAAAAAAGGGATAATAGTTTGATGAATATAGATGTGGTTTAGTATAAAAAAGTATTGTTGGAAAGCATATATAATATGTCTATATGATGACTGGACATGTACAGTCTAACTATTGAGTTGACAGTAATAATTAGTTAGTCTGAGAAACCAACATTGTAGTTCACATCTTGGAAATGATGGGACTCAATTGGACCCTTTTATCACATCAAAAGCAACCCTTTCCATCCGATTGAACCGAACCCACCTCATTGGGGCCGGGGGTATTTAGCTGTAACTTTTGTTTGGAGCCCCCCCCCCCCCCAACAAATTATAATGGCCTCACTATGCTTACTAGCTCCACTGGAAAATCATGCAATAAAATTAACATCCGCCTTTACTGTATCAATTACTTAATTACTGCTATGTTGACAAATATACAGTTTAAGGGTAAAGAGGTAGAATAGACAGCACAAAAAATATGTAATAAAAAGGACAAAAGAAAGGGGAGAAAGCATGTGTTTGTTGAAGATGGACGCCATAAATGATGATGCGTTGAAATAGGATAGTTATGTTGGTTAAAAAATATTTTACTGAAATGTTATTATTTTTTTATATTTTTGATAAAATGTTACTTAAAATATTATTTTTTTAACGAAAAATTTATTTTCGATTACTAATTTCTGGTAAAACTTAATATTAACATTTCTGGTAGAAAAAAATAATAGTTTAGTTAACTCTTTACAGGAAATGTTAAGCATTTTAGGTAACGTCAATATTAACATTTTCAATAGAAAAAATAATGCTTTAAGTAGTGTTTTATAAAAAATATTAAAAAATAATAATATTTTTGATAATATCTTTTTTAATCGTATATTAAAACAACCGTTTAGGGCATCTCCAATGCTTCTCCACAATTGGAGAATATCTCCACTGTGGAGAAAAAACCCCATCCAGCCCATCGCCATATTCATCTCTACACTGGAGAAGCGCTAAAGTTCGTGCCACATCTGGTGCGGTACTATAGCATGCGCTACAATTTTCGTTTTTTTTTAATTTAAATAAATTAAATTAAAAGATAGATAAAAATACATTGAAATTAGATATAAAAACATACTAATTATTTTTGTAATTTTTCTTTTTTTTTATTTTTTCTGATTTTTTGTATTTTTCTGATTTTTTAAAATTCAAATAGATATTATTAGAAATGTATATGTTTTATTTTATATTTGTAAAATTAATATTATAATAGTTAAATTTTGATAATAAAATAGAGTTTGTGGCAATGTAAAAATAATGTTGGAGATGAATTACTGTTGGAGATGAATTACTGTTTCATCTCTAGAGTAAAGGTAGAGATGCGCTAGAGTAGAGATAAACATTGGAGATGGGCTTAATAGCGTTTTAATCCTCGTTGAAATAGCGTGTGTGGCCATGGGATTGTCGGAAGATGAAAGTTGATTTCTAGTTTAAGCAACTCCTGATTTTAAAATATATAAAATTCAGATTTTTCTAAGCAGGCAACAGGGAAGCTGTTTAAGCAATTGTACGTGTAGGAAGGTGGCACAAAACAAAGCAGCACAGAGCATATATTGAGCCATCTGTTTGAGCAAGGACTTAATCAAATTACTTATACTTTAAAAGATATTTAATATTATTATAAAGATGCTTTTATTTTTTTTATATAAACAAGTAAAAAATAATATTATAAAATGAATGTTATTTTATTTAAAGCTGAGAGTAGTTTTCTACTTATCAAAAAATTTCTGCTTTTGTTCCATTGAATCAACCTTCAATAACTTTAACAGGAATTCTGCACCAAAAATCCATGGTTTAAACCGAACAGCCATACACAAAAGCTACAAAAGTATGCATAATTGCTTTATCCAAATGGGGCTTGTTTGATGGACAATAGCTCAGCATCCAACTGCAGGTTAGAGAAAGATGCAGAAAATGAGGGGACAATACTAATATTTCAGAAACAGATGACTTTTGACTCAATTGCTGCATTTGGAGGGATTTCCTGGACTCCTTTTTTCCATATGCTAGCTCTGGAGGAACTATCAGCAGTCGCTGCAAACAACATATTGCTTAAACACTGAGGAAATGGTATATGTATATGAGTATGGATACACAAGAAACATTGAGGAAATGGTATGTGTATTGTTTGCATGCATGCACGCACAAGAAACATTGAGGAAATGCCATGCTATAAACAGGTCTCACCTGCCCTCCGACCCGCATTCCTTTGACACCAAGATCCAATCCCTTGAGCACATTTCCTCTTTCAGATTGGCCGATATCAAATCCATAAGGCTGCATGAGTTCAAACATATCAGTCTGACCAGTTGTGTTAACTGCACTGCGAGACAGAGTTTGCGGTAGAAGAAAGCTTTAGCCTCATTCAGACCATGTATCGCTTAACATTAAGAACTTTAATCTTAAAAGCTCTGTGTGGATTTCTGAAATTGAGTTACAGTTTGTGCATCAGGTTAGCAATCAAAACATTGGATCATGCAGACTTGAGAAACAAAATCCCTGTTTGATCTTCTGGCAGTCTCCAAGCGGATCAATAGAATATTACAACAATTCTGGTTATAAGGTATGAGAAAGGGAAAGGCTATGAAACATCTTGCTCTTACCGTCCCCCCTCCGACACCTGCTAGTCGACTTGTGTACATTTGGCAACATAGTGAATCGACAAAAAAACAACCATACTGCATCGATTATATTCATACTTACGGGACGATCAAACACAGTTAACAGAACGTTTTCAGATTTATCGAGGGTGATATTTATGTTTTAAGTATATTTGAGATTCTCTCCTATCTGATTCTATCACTTTAGCTTTCATCAAATACTAAGTAAGATCTTTACAGCATCAGATCGTCACCGGTCTAACCTTGTGGAAGTTTACCAACTTTAATGATAATTAACTAATCGGCATTCACAGTTCATCGTTCCAGTAGATAGTAAAATGAAAACTGAGATCATAAAGCACACATCACAGAGTATTCTAATGAAAACTAACTAATTCACAACGGTACTGCAACTCGAGATCCCCTAACAACCTTAAGTCCACTGCCGACCTTCAAATCATAGTACCTGAATGTCAAAATTTGAATAATCACTTCCATTGTAGAACATACAAAGGAAATCCAACATGTTCTTTTACTGTTTTCTTCTATAAGCCAAAGAAATAAATAGGTAAATGTATGATGTATAAGAGGCACAAACTTGAGCCCATTGGGAAGAGTTGTGAATTCAATCTCAGGTATTTTAGCTCCTCTGAGCTGCAAGAATCAATATTAAAATTGCATGAATTATGCATTGCAAGGACCAGAGATTACTAAAAAGGTGATATTTACAGCTCTTCTACTCGTGCTAACCACCTCGGCCACATCAGAGACATACATTGCAGCAACTGAATCAGTCAAACAAAGTTCATCAGAACATTTAAACCAAAACACCATGAAAGTTAATTGATTATGAGAGTTGAAATTAAATCGCTAACCAGCTATGAGGAGAGAAGCAAGCAATGCCCTTTTCCCCTCCTGCTGCAAACAAAGAATTGCAGGCTTTGAGTTATTATCATCAGAAAATGACAGTGTGCCTTCACATAGCAAAACAAATGGTTTCCTCTTTGGTAGTCTCTTCCCTGAGATTCAAACAATTGTAAAGAACAATTGAATATGATGCATATTCATCTTATTTCAAGAAGATTTACCTGAAAAGGGAAGTGAGAAGAAAGGGTTGTGGAGGAGAGTTAAGGTGTTTTGATGGTAAGGGAAGGAGGACAGTTCCATTGACAGTACAAGGAGTAAAAGAAAAGAGTGAAACTCATTGGATATTTCTTTGGTCATTAAAGAGAGAAGATGAAATGTTCAATACCATCCAGATATTTAAAATTGTGGATTAAGACTTTAATTATTGAAATTTAAATCCCAGTTTCTGCATTTTAGTGTTCTGTTCTGGAACCATGTGAAGTAAGCAACTTGTTTGATTTCAAAAGCTCTATCCTCGATTTGCTCCACTTTTGGGCAGAGGATTGAAGAGAGTAAGTGTTGTTCGTTTGGGGGCATTGAATTTGAATGTCTCAGTTGATTAAAGTCGAAGCATTTAAGAAAGAAGTGTGGTCCTTGGAGGGTTTTCATTGTTGCTGACACTAGTCTTGGATACTGTACAAAGTTTACCATTCCATTGAAAGGAAGAAAATTTAATATTAGCACAGTTTCACACACAGACCTTTTTGGACGTGTCAGGACAGATGACACGGTGTACCAAATTACATTCCGCAGGAGCAGGATTATATATTAATGGACAAACTTATAAAATTTTATGGGACCAAAATAGATTATAAATAAAGAAAATATATAAATTATATGAGAATTTAGAATTTTTTGGGATCACTGTTTCAACCCCCTCTCAATCTATCCATACTTTATTATTTTCAATTGCTTATTTTTTTTATGAACAGAGAAAGAGATTTTATAGAATCAAACTCATAATTTAACGTTAAGTCATGAACTTGATCCTTCTATTACTACATCATTGATCAAATGCACAAATTGAAAATATTATACGGACAAAAGTCATAATTCAGTAAAAATAATATAAAATAAATAATTTTTTTCTGCACATCTAGTGGAAAATTGACATGGGGACGTGCAAATTTTTGGTTCCAAAAATCATAATTCAGTAAAAATAATATAAAATAAATAATTAAGTCATGAACATTAGCGGAATGTTTAAGTTTTAAAAAGAAATAATTTTTTATTCTACAAATTTTGTATTATTTACAATCCACTGATACTGATGTGTCACATGCTGCTGAACATCTTTGCACACATGTTTTATAGACGCACCCAGCAATCAAATATAAATGATTATGCACAAATCTATTTGGAAACCCCAATGATAAAGAGAAGGTTTATTAACCTGTTTGAATCAGTGAAAGGACATGGCTTATAAAAATAATTCAAAAGACACCAAAGAAGTTTCAATTTTATGATTTCGACGCCCCAAACTTCAAAGCTCCAATATGAGATCCTTGAACTCACAACTCTCATTCCTCTAAAAGAAATCAACATCAATTGGGAATATGATGAATGAAACAAGGTGGGTAAAGGCTCAATTTCTGAAATTCTTCTATGGGTATGTTTGGAAAATCATGAATCCCTCTGTTTTTAAGTGCATCAAAGAATCCAAGTGAAATGGCCATATCATTTGGGACAATAATAACCCTCGTCTCAAAAATCCACTTCCTAAAACATCATATATCAAGTGTCGGTTTAGGTTAATTTCCAATATTAATGAGAGCATGCTTTAAACTGTTGGGAGAATATTTTCAGACCAAACTTTTCAATTAAATCAACCTTTTTCTTTTGTTGCAACTCATATTACCCGGATTTGAGTAAAAAAATGTCACGCGTTCACGCTTTTTAAGCTTTGGGAAATAAAATTAAAAAGAAATCAACATAATGGGTAGCTACTGGATATTAAAAGAGAAGAAACAACTTCAAAAATTGCTAGGGATGGATGACGCGATCATGCTTGTACAACGCAATTGGAAAATTTGTTGAAGACACGCCAACCCTCGGACGTTATGCAAAATGTGGATGAAACGGCAACCAAACTCTTTTCAAAAAAGCACTCAAAGCTTTAACCAATTCTATTGTCACCTGAAGAAAAACGTTAGGACGTGGACAAAATGATTGCAGTTTGTTTGTTAAGGCTAATGGCAGATATTATGGGTCCTTACGGAATGCTAAAACATGTCTCTTCTCCTATAAATAAGCACCTTTAATGGAACCATTCTCTTAAAGACATTTGTATCAGTTTCACCATAACTCTCACCCATGGCTCCTTCTCCTTAAATTCTCCTTCACCTGCCCCCCATTCATCTCTCTCCTCTTCTCTCTGGTATACAAACACGGTTGAAACAAAGGGCAAAGGAGAAAAAGAAAAATGAGAGTTTCAAGTGAGTTTTTGGCTACCTTGGTTCTTGTACTGGTTTCATCATTGGCAAATGGTGACCCCCTTGTTCCTGCACTCATCATCTTTGGGGACTCGGTTGTTGATGTTGGGAATAACAACAATCTCAATACACCTATCAGGGCGAACTTCCCACCATATGGAAGAGATTTTGTTACTCACAGGCCAACCGGAAGATTCTGTAATGGGAAACTTGCCACGGACTTCACCGGTAATGTTTTCTTGAGAACACGTGTTTTTCTCTCTCTCCATTCATTTAGGTTCTTTCACTCTTCTCTAATGGACCTTTTTCATTCCTGCATGCACAGCTGAGTACCTTGGGTTCACGTCTTATCCACCGGCTTACCTTAGTCAAGATGCCAGAGGAAATGCTCTCTTGACCGGAGCGAACTTTGCTTCCGCTGCCTCTGGTTTATATGACAGAACTGCAAACCTATATGTAAACAATTAAGATTTCAACCCCTCACCCCTCTCTTTTTCTCTATCATTCTGACTATGAAGCCTGCTCATCTAACAAGAACCGTTTTATTGAATCCTGTAGAGTGCCATAACATTGAGCCAGCAGTTAAACTACTACAAGGAGTATCAAACAAAAGTGGAGAACATGGTAGGAAAAGCTAAAGCTAACGACATTGTCTCTGGTGCCATACATCTTTTGAGTGCAGGAAGTAGTGATTATATTCAGAACTACTACATCAATCCTCTACTCAATCGAATCTATACACTGGATCAATTCTCTAACATTCTCATGAGATCCTACTCTAGTTTCATTCAGGTATCATTTTTTTTTTTTTTTTTTTGAATAACATTCAGGTATCATTTATCTTTCACTTATAGGGGCTATTATGCTATCTTCAGCAATATCTGGACCATTTAAATGACAAATTAATGCCTGTTTTGAATTATGTTTGTATCCCTAACCTAATTCTGGACAGTAGACACTATGTAACTAGAAATATTACAAAGTTAATAGTAAAAAAAATGCATTTGTAATGGAAGCTAATAGCAATGTTTAATGAAAATGAAAGAAAAATGAGAAGCGAGATTCTTACATGCCGGTTTCTTTAAAGCACACAACTATTTCATGTTTGAACAGAATCTATATGGACTGGGAGCAAGGAGGATTGGAGTGACATCCTTGCCACCAACAGGTTGTTTACCTGCAGCAATCACCCTATTTGGTGGAGGAAGTAATGGGTGTGTTGCAAGGTTAAACCAAGATGCCATAGCCTTCAACAATAAACTGAACAGCACATCTCTAAGCCTACAGAACAAGTTTCCTGGTCTCAAACTTGTAGTCTTCGATATATACCAGCCTCTCTTGGACATGGTTACAAAGCCCAGCGACAATGGTAAACCACCTATTGTGCAAAAGACTAGTTAATCAATGAATGAATCAACATGCCGTATGAGTAGGAATAATTTAATTTTCTTTAAATATTACTCTGCTAACTTTAAGTGAACAGAATCAACAAGATCATATATTTGAAAGCAATTTTTAATTTCCAAATTTCATTCTTTAACCAAGGAAAACCTAGTACTAGAAGATAAGTTTTACTCACACTAGTGACATGAAACTAGTAAACTTTTGGGATTATTCTCTGATCATGTATATCAATTTCAAAATTATGTAGTTCCTTTCAATGTTCTATTCAAAGTTCCATCATGCATGATTTGCCAGTTGAATGAAGTGACTTATTCATTAATATAATTTTTCCCCTGCGAATTTGGTAATTGGTATTATTATTGTTGCAGGTTTCTTTGAGTCGAGAAGAGCTTGCTGTGGAACGGGTACTCTAGAGACCTCCTTGCTTTGCAATGCCAGGGCACTGGGGACATGCTCCAATGCTACATCTTATGTATTTTGGGATGGATTCCATCCCTCTCAAGCAGCTAATGAAGTCTTAGCAGGCAATTTGCTAGCACAGGGAGTGGGACTCATCTCCTGAAGCTATTTACTTCATGGTCGTAGAAAGGGAATAAAAATAAGAAGAAAACACTATCACCAGTTCCTGTAATCTTCCCATATGTAGGATGTTAGACATTACTATGAGTCTAAAATATTTGCTTCATTGGTATGACTTGTTTTAGCAGAAGAATTTTAGTATTTTCACATGTAAAACCTCCTTATTATGCTTTTAGCAGGGGTAGATTGCTGCATTTCTGCCAGGTAAATCGATGCATCAATCATCGCATCAATAAAATGATATGGTTGCTTCGTGAACAATTTAGTTACCATTAGAATACGCCAGAAAATGCAGATTGTTAAATGATATAGACATAGTAGTGTAAATGTCAAAACTGGTTCATCTCTCCATCGATTATATTACTTTATGTAGAAAAATACACTATTTAAATATACACACTACTGTCTTATCTTAGGAAACTGCTAAGTTAGGTAAATAATTGATTCTACGAGTAATTCTAATCCCTTAAAGTTAAGGATCCTAACTAATATAATATATTTACAAAGATCTTATATAATTTTCAGAATTCAGGAAGCTAATCTCTGACACTCCCTCTCAAACTGGGACATGAATGTCTTCCATCCTTAGCTTGTTTGTCAACTTATGAGATTTTCTTACAAGATATTAGATTTTTATTTGTACAAATGATACTTCAAACTTAAAATAGACAATAAAAGAATTAATAATACTTCGGTAAAATTAACGCAATAATGATGACGTTAAAAATATTTTAAAATATATCGCTAGTAGAAATTTATTTTGAAATTTATGATATTTACTACATGAACATCAAAATTATAACAATTATATATATAATTAAAAATATAATAATATAAAATATTTTATTAAAATTCGTCATGTTTCTCTAATATATTTTATTGAAACTCGTCATTTTCACATTACAAATTCTAAATAATTATAATAAATATCTTAAATCTCAAAATATATGTGAAGGTGTCCTATTTTACTAATTAATTATTCTACCTATATTATTTGTCGAATTTTATCCGATAATTCATTATTTCTTAAGTTATTCCATCAAAGCAATCAATCAAGACCTTTGGCCTCTACCCAAACTTAATAAAAAAAAATTGGGATCAAATTTTCATCAAACAAACTAAAATTGCTTAATTTACTCGTCAACGTAGTTGAAAGTTACTCTCAATTTGTTTTCAACGATATATAATTGCTGGTAACTAAACGTAATAGTGACAACAATTAATTTTCTAAACATTACTCACTGATAAATCTTAAATTTTATATATAAAAAATTAAAACACAACCCAGGATTTAAACCTAATTTTTTCTCTAAAATTTTTATGCCGTCTTCTTCTCTTCTTTTGTTTTTTTAACCGACGATTATACCAATCTTAATATTAGTTGTCGTCTGACGGTAATTATTATTATTCTTATTCTTTTTCATATCATGTTTTAGTTTTTTTTTCTTTAATTTTTTATTTTTAAATAAGATTCTCTATCCTTGAGACAGGTTTTTCTCTGCTCTTGTAGCATGCTTTATCTCTGCTCTTGTGGCACGTTCCTTATAGTTTTCGGTAAGTTTTTCGCATACTTTTACGGTCGTGTTGGTGCTTCCATAAAGATTCTCACGACATTTATTTTCTGATTGACTTGTCGTTGCTCATGTATTGTCAAATCCCTCTTTTGTAAATGGTCATTTGTCGATATAATCAGAATTGTGTAGCGAAGCAATCTACCAAATTGTTTGGTTCGCTCACAAATCCTTTATCACATCGTAAAGCGTCTCGTTCGACAGAGACAGAGAATTTTTATTTTATGTATGAGTTTTTTTGTGATTATGTCTCTAATTTTCTCTTTTAGATGTGTTGTAATTTTGATTCATCCATTTTTATTAATGAAATTCAATTCCCATTGTTAAAAAAAAAACAACCCATTGAGTTATAAAAGAAATATCATTTTTTCTCTAAAAAAAAAGAAATATCATTTTTTATATTTTATAATAATATGTATTCTTTTACATTTTTATATTTATCTAAATATTTTTATAATTTTCAATATTCTTTTATAATTTACACTATTTTTTTATTATTAAGCTAAGGTATTTACAAAGTATTATTTGTTTTGAATATTCTCTCAATCATTTGAAAATGAAGCTTAATCACCCTGCTGCAGTCGTTGGTGCTCGAACCTGTAACATCTAGGAACAACAATGATTTATTTAACCATTGAGGTAAGTTAGTTCGTGCTATAAATTACATTAAGTCATTCGTGTGAGTGACACATATTATTATAGCTTTTTTAATAGTCTAGTGTGATTACAAGGTAATATTTATTAAAAAAGTAATCTATGATACATGTCGACACCGTTTTTTGCCAGGGCGAGGAAAGACCGATACCGATGTCAAGATGGTATTTCGCCCGGCGAAAACTAGTGTCGTTGCTTTCTAAATCTCATCTCGAAAAGGTAAGTGTTTTTCTTCTGATATAAGATAAATACAATTTGTGGAGTCGCCACCAATATTGGTCACCAAAAATGCTATGTTATTTTAATAAAATTTATAAAAATAATATTAAAATAACACAAAAAGGGTCTGCTTACCAGAAAATGAGTTCAGGAGTCGGTTACGTGTGGGAAAGGATTAACACCCACACAACGCCCAAAATTGGTACATTTGTTTATTAATTAATGTCTTTGCAATAAATTAATAAATTTATATTTAATTTCAATTTATGATCCCATAAAAATAGTAAGGATATTATTTTATACCAACAAATCATTTAAAATACTTTCCTAATCAGTTAAGAAAAATATTTTATGACTTATTGTATAAAATAATATAACCCAATTACATATAATAATTTTAATGATTTAATCAAGAAAATATAAAAATTAAGGTTACTATTATAACAACTTAATATGCAAAGTACTATAGTTGTAAATAATCCTCTAATAATATGAAAATATTAAAAATATTAAAATTAAGAGAATAAAATACATATTTCAAGTAAAACAAAAAAATGAAGCATTATAATTAATTAAAATAAAAAAACGTAGGATTATTTAAATATGGAAAATTTTGTGGACAAAACTTAGTGGACATGTAAATACATTTTAAAATGAAACATCCATAATTATAATGCTTCACCTTTCTAATTTTTTATTATTACTTTTAATAATGGTATTACTTTGTTATTATTTTAATTATTCAATATTTTATTTTATTTAAAACACTAATATATATTATTAGGATACATATGTGACTAAAATAAAAAGTAATAGATAAATATTAGATTTAAAATATTTAAACATAAAAGGCAATAATAAAAATAAAATAAAGTTGCAATTAAGTAATAACCAAAATAATAATATAGGATTAAATTAAAAATATATATAAATTATTGGTCAATATTCGAAATATTATAAAATATATATATTAAAAGTGTAAATAACCCTAAAATATTATTTAAATATATGTAAATATACGGGTAGTGACTAAAATAAAAATAAATAAAATGTGAAGACAAAATTAAAAGATATAGAAACATGATTTCGGTGACTAAAATAGAAGATTATAGAATACAGGGACCATGGACATGATTTATCAATCCTAAAATTGCACACACACACACACTCCCCAAAATGAAGTAGTTTTGAGGAGTGTATAAATACCCTAAATTTGGCTAAAAATGGCCAATTTCGGCCATCGCCGGTCACTATTCACCAATGTCGGTTACTATTCCAATCACTATTTATGGCCGGAAAAAAATAAAAATAGCTCTAAATGTAGATCGAAACACCCTAAAGCCGAAACCACCCTCATTTTTTCCTAAAAAACTTCAAAACGACCTAGATCTAAGATTTTACCTTCGGTAAAACAACTTTTCCGACGAAGATCTCCTCTCCTTTCTTCTCCTTACGATTTGTTTGTTACTCGTTGGTGTTGCTTGCTCTCTTCCCGTTCTTTTCGTTGTGTTATATTTTTTGCAGGGAAATCAAGGCTTTTTATAGCCCTCAAAATAACTATTCGTTCGGTGAGTCACCGGATCTACGATGGTGACTAACCATATAGCTGATGAAGTGTACGACTATCCTCGCTTCTTCTGGATCCTTCTGTTGGAGGCGGCGGCGTCGTGGCAGCATCTGGTTGGAGAACCCGGAGGCAACGGCCGGAATAGCTCTAAGGTTGGTGAACCCTAGAGTTTCTGCTAGATTAGATCTGGGCTTCTTGGGCTTCTTGGGCCTGAACCGGGTCTGGGCCTGAATCGAGTTGATTTTGTAAAATGGGCCTTCGGGTTGTATTATTTGTAATAATAAAATATATATAATAATAATAGTAATAATATAATAATATAGTAATAATAATAATATATGCAAACTAGGACGAAAATAACTGTCGACAGCTGCCCCTCTTTGCTTATTTTTGTGTTAACAAGAATAGAGGAAAGATAAAAAAACTAGAAATTTTCATCCTACTGACTTATATTTAGGAAAAAGTAAAAACATCATACTCGGAGGTTTTACAGACGACCCGGAGGTTTTAATTTTCTAGAACATTAAATGAGAAACTTTGGTAATTGCTTTCTCATTTTAATGCGAAAACATCCTACCTTGAGGTCTTACAGATGAACCGGAGGTTTCACAAATTTGTGGGAAATACTTTACTAGGTAAGAAACTTCTTACTTTTCAAAATTTTGATTTTCTAGAACATTAAATGAGAAACTTTGAAAATCATTATCTCATTTTCATGTGAAAATCATATGTGATCATCCTACCCAAAGGCTTTACGGATGGCCTTAAGGACTTATCATCTTGCTCGAAAGGCTGACAGATGACCCGAAGATTTTAAACATCATGCTCGAAAGACTAATAGATGACCCGAATGATTTATAAATTTGTGAGAAATACTTTACTAGGTAAGAAACTTCTTACTTTTCAAAATTTTGATTTTCTAGAACATTAAATGAGAAATTTTGAAAATCGCTATCTCATTTTCTTGCGAAAATCATATGTGAACATCCTACCCAAAGTCTTTACGGATGGCCCTAAGGACTTATCATCTTGCTCAAAAGACTGACAGATGACCCGAAGGATTTAAGCATCATGCTCGAAAGACTAACAGATGACCCGAAGGATTTACAAATTTGTGGGAAATACTTTACTGGGTAAGAAACTTCTTACTTTTCAAGAATTTCATTTTCTAAAAAAATTAAATGAGAAACTTGTTGGTTGGG